CCCCCACACATTGATTTCCTTCCCCCCCTTTCCATGGGATGCTCTTGGCAGGGCTACGGGGACCACAAGCCCAAGTCCTCGACGGCCGCCCAAGAGGTGAAGACCCTGGATGGGATCTACACAGAGCAGGTGAGTGGGGGACCCTTCCAGAGGGTGTGTGTGGAATTCCACCCCCCCTTAAAAAACTATGGTGGCTGAGGCCTTACACAACTCATCATACCCGTGGGGTGCTGATAGGAGGGCATGTGGGACCCTCAGCTTAAATAAATAGGGTAGCTGAGGCTGTACACAACTCATCACATCTATGGGGTGCCGGAAGGGGGGTGTTTGGCTCCTCTGTCCTTCAATAAATACAGGGGCTGAGGCCATACACAATTTATCACACCCATGGGGTGCTGGAGGTAGGGTGCGTGGGCCCCTCACCTTCAATAAATATGGTAATTTGAGGCTGTACACAACTCATCCCACCCTTGGGGTGCTGCAGGGAGGGTGTGTGGGCCCCTGTCCTTGAGCAAACGGGGTAGCTGAGGCTGTACACAACTCATCCCACTCGTGGGGTGCTGGAAGGAGGGTGTTTGGCTCCTCTGTCCTTCAATAAGTACAGTGGCTGAGGCCATACACACCTTCTGACACCCATGGGGTGCTCAAACGTGGCCCTGGATAAAAGTGGTGGGTAGGAGGGGTGATAAACCCAGCAGGGCCGGGTCCCGTTCAGTTTCCCCCCCTCCCCCCCCCCCCTGGGGACCCCCCCTAAACCCTCCCCAGGGACCCCTCCAACCCCCTGGGGACCCCCCCTGACCCCCGCTTTTCCAAGCCAGCAGCGGCTCTAACTACCTGTCCTCCCATTTCCAAGGCTTTGGGGGGGGTGGGTGTTTTCTTGCCCCCCCCGGGCTTTTCTAAACCCCTGAGCGTAGCAGGATCTTTTGGCACATCCAGGCTTCTGATTTGTTTGGTTTTTTTGGTATTTTCTTTCTTGGGGGGTGTATTAATTTTTTTTTTTTATGAGTTTCATTTAATTTCTAGCATTTTGCATCACTTTCTACCCCCTTTCAGCCACAAACCTCCCCAGCTCGGGGTAAAATCGGGGACCTGAAGAGCAGCTACAAAACACCTTTATTTTCCCTCCCCCAACCTTTTTCTTCCCAATATTCCATTCTTTGGCATTTTCCCTCAAATACCCCCCATTTTGGGTGCTATAATATATATTGGGGGGGGTTCCCCTCCCTACACACACTCCTCTCCAGCATCCCTTTTCCAGGAGGGATTCAGGATCCCACCTCCCCTCCAAACTCATCATTTGGGGGGTTCCCCTCCCCACTAGCTCAGCCCTCGCCCACCCCGGGGAGATCTCAGGTATGATGAGGGGAGCCCCAAAGCTTTTTCTTTCCCTCCCTTAATTATTAATTCATTAATTATTATGAATTCATTCTGCCTGGTATCAGCCCAAAGTCCCTCCTACGACGCTGTGCACTGTGCTGGAGAAACGAGGTGCCTTTTTTGAGCAGAGCTCAAGCTCTGCCTCCACGTAACCCAAGGGTGATTTTTTTTGGGGGGGTTGTTTTTCTTTTAATCTATTTTTATGATGATTTTTCAGCTTTTAAGGGTTATTAAACGTTTAAGTTCTTGGAAGTCCTTTCTCCCCGAGGGGTCGCGCCCGTTCGGCGAGTTTGGGGTTCGAAAAACCAACAAGATTTTGGTTTTGGGGTGGTTTTTGTTGTTTTCATTCACTTTGGGGTTGGGGATTATTTTGGGGGACTTTTTTTGGGGGGTTTAGAAACAAAATATCCAGGACAGGGAAGAGCAGCCGGGTGGAAAAGTCCAATAATCCGCTTTTTTTAGCAATATTCCTTTTTTTGGGGGGTTGTGGTACCAGCGGATGCTGCAGCCCCCTTTAAAAAAGGGGGGAGGGGGGGAATCACCAAAACCCTATTTTACCCCTCAAAAAAAAAAGCATCATTTTGACTCATCCTGCCCATAAAGTATTTTTAGGAGGCGGTTCAAGGAATCAAATATTCCTAAAACCACGAGGGTCTCAGAACAACTTGTCCTTTAGCTGAGCAGGTCCTGGGTTAGTGCTGTAATTGTCTGCACGGGGTGTTTTTTTATATTTCTTGAAGTAAATGTTTAAATAAACGATGTCATTGTCATACACCCCTTGTCCCTCTTGCTTTATCCACCCCTAGCTGTCCAGTTTTTCATGGTACTTAAGTTGGGAGGGTTGGCTGATCCACATGGAGGCCACTCGGGGATTTAGAGAGGCTGGAGAGCTGGGCAAAGAGGAACCTCTTGAGGCTCAACAAGGAGTGGAGAGTCCTCCACCTGGGGAGGAAAAACACCCTGCACCCATATGGATGAGGGGTTGGCCTGCTAGAAAGCAGCCCCATGGAGAAGGACCTTGGGGTCCTGGTGGACAACAAGTTATTCATGGGACAGCATTGGCATGGCCAAGAGAGCCAATAGTGTCCTGGGATGCATGAAGAACAGCGTGGCCAGCAGGTCCAGGGAGCTGCTCCTGCCCCTCTGCCCATTGAGGTCACATCTGGAGTGTTGTGTCCAGTTCTGGGCTCCCCAGTTCCAGAGGGACAGGGAGATGCAGGAAAGAGTCCAACGGAGACTACGAGGATGATGAAGGGACTGGAACATCTGTCTGATAAAGGCCGAGAAACCTGGGGCTGTTCAGTCTGGAGAAGACTGAGAGGGGACCTGATGAACGTCTACAAGTATCTGCAGGGGGGTGTCAGGAATGGGCCAGTCTCTGTTCAGTGGTGCCTGTGACAGGACGAGGGGAAAGTTACAACACAGGAAGTTCCACCTCAACTTGAGAAACTTCTTTCCTTTGGGGGTGACAGAGCCCTGGGCCAGGCTGCCCAGAGAGGCTGGGGAGTCTCCTTCTCTGGAGAGTTTCATCTGGACACGTTCCTGTGTGACCTGCCCCGGGTGTTCCTGCTGCCGCAGGGGGGTTGGACTCGCTGACCTGAGGTCCCTTCCAACCGCTTTGGGTTCTCCAATTCCCCCTGCCCTGCCCGCCCAGCATCCCAACCAAACCCGCAGCCATTAGAGGGCACCATCCTGCTGTCCCAGCACCCTCAGCCCCAAGACACCCCCCCCAGGGTTTCCCTTGGATGATCCACAGGCAGGGGGCAAACAGGGCAGGGGCTGCACAGGGGGGCACTTCCCTGGGGGGCTGTGTCCTTACTGCGTGTGCACGCCCGGCTTCTGCACACACGTGTGCTCTCTGCATGGCTGTGGGGCTGTGCCTGCACACACGTGTGCTTTCTGCATGGATGAGGTTTTCTGTGTGCACACACGTGTAGTTGAACACATGCCAGTGGTTCTCTGCATGCACACGTGTATTTTTCTACATGCATGTACTTTTCTGCATGCACACGTGTCTTTGCACACCCGGGGTGTTCTGCATGCACAGACATGGATTTTCTGCATGAACACACGTGTCTACTGCCTGCGTGTAGGTTTGTGCACATGCACACATCTTCTACATGCATGTGCTTTTCTGCATGGAGACACGTGTTCTGCAAGCACACACAGGTTCTGCATGCATGTGCTTTTCTCCATGCACACCCATTTCCCTGTACACACCCCCATTTCTCTGCACACACACCCATGCCCACCCTCACAGCTCTGTGTGTGTGTGTGTGTGTGTGGTTTGGGGCACACGTGTATTTCACATACACGTTTCTTTCACACACACGATTTTTGCACATGCACCCCTGCAGTGAGACGAGGCTGCACAACCCCCCAGCCTCTTTTTCTCCCCAGTTTAACAATGTTAATCTTAATGGTGGTGCTGGGCGAGCTGTGTCCATGGGCTGTACCAACCACCACCCAGTGTCACTCACACCCACAGGCGGTACCATCAGCCAGTGCCACCCAGAGAGTGAAAAAACCATCACCTTGTTCAAAACCAAGCTCCAAACCTCACACCCAGCAAGGTGGAGGCCAGGAGAAAGCTGCAGCCCTTTTTTATTTCCAAGGCCACCGCCTCTGAAGGCACTTGAGGGGATGGGGAGAGGAACAGAGTTGGAACTAGATGTTCTTTAAGGTCCTTTCCAACCCAAACCAGTCTGGGATGGGATGATTTGGGAAGCAGGAGGAGGAATGGTGGCACTGAGGCCACTTCAAGGCACCATGTGCCACCACTTGAAGGCAAAGGGTTTCCGGCGGACGTTGGTGCCACAGTGGATCTCCCCAGAGAGGACGTGGTAGGAGAAGTAGTCATCAATGAAGGTGCAGGTGAGGCCCAGGGGCTCCAGCAGCTCCCGTACCCGCGCCTCCAGGCAGCACTGCCCACCCACCTCTGGTCCAAAGGGCTTGGGGATGCCCAAGTGTCTGCCCAGCACCAGCATGTTCACCTGCAGCATGGGAACATGGGTGATCCCAGGCCAAATTCCCAGGTGGAAGGGCAGGGAGGGGTAAAAGGGGATGTGGGGCTCACCATGTCTGGGAAGAAGGCCTCAGCACCGGTGGCAGCAGCTCCACGGAAGAGCTGGGGGATGTCCAGGATGTCTGGCTCACTCAGCCCCAGAGATCGCTTCAGGATGTCCCTGTTCCAGCTGATGCAGCTCTGGGGCAGGATGGGAGAAGTGTCAGGGGGGCAGGGAGGGAGGGATGGAAGGATGGGGGGACAGAAGGATGAAGGGAGGGACAGAGAGACAGAGGGATGGATGGAGACAAGGAGGGGTGGAGAGATGGATGGAGAGTTGGAAGGACAAACGGGTGGAGAGATGGATGGGCAGAGGGATGGATGGGTGGACAGAGAGATGGATAGAGGGAGGGAGAGAGGGAGGGAAGGATGGAAAGATGGAGGGATGGAGAGATGGATGGAGAGTTGAAAGGATAAATGATGGACAGACAGATGGAGAGAGAGGAATGGAGAGAGGGAGGGAGGAGTAAGGAGATGGGTGGACAGATGGAGGGACAGAGGGATGGAGGGGGAGAGGAGAGGATGAGTGGACAGATGGAGAGAGGAATAGGTTGAGGGCTGGAGGGACAGAGGGAAGGATGAGGGATGGGTGGATGGAGGGATGAGTGGGAGGGAGATAGGGAATGATGGGCAGGTGGATGGACAGAGGGACAAAGGGATGGGTGGACAGATGGAGGGATGAACAGAGGGATGAAGGGGACAGGGGGACAAAGGAGCCCCCTGCTCCCCTTCCTCACCTGGACGTAATTATTGAATTTCCGGAGCCCTTCATTAGCCAGGATCTCGGTTATCGTGGGCTTGGGCACCCCCTCCAGTCCTGCAGCACAGATCAGGAATTCTTCCCTCAACACATTTGGGATGAGGCTTCCAGCTCTGAGCCAGGAGCCCCTCATTCCATAGCTCCATCCCAACCCAGGAAATCAAATTCATGCATCTTTTTCATTCGATTCTGCTCATTTCTGTCCCACCTCCTTGCTTCCAGCAGCACCTTCCCAGCCACCAGCTGGGTGCTGGGCTGCTGTGCATCCACTGACCCAATTCCATTTAGCAGGAAGAAGGGAAAAGGAATCCATAAAACCTCATTTTTCCACCTCTTCCCTACCCTGGAACATTGCTGCCTCTCCAAACCCTTCCTCTTGCTTCTCCTTGAGGAGCTGGTAGCAGGCACTGGGGCTGGCCAGGAGCAGCCGGAAACCCTGGAGAAGGAAAAAGGGATGATTATGGGGGGTGGTTATAAAGGTTGCACCCCACTTTTTTCCCCTCCTTCCTAAGATTCATCACCTTCCGATCAGGAGCAGGGACAAAGCTGAGGAATTCATCTACATGGCCAACCTGGAGCCAGTCAGAAAAAAGCTCCACTGGAGCCTGGACTTGTTGGGCAACCAGGAAATCCCTCACAGCCTTCGCCATCCGCCGGCCACCGAATCTGGGGGGTGGGAGGGCAACAGGGGGAGGGCTTTTTAAGGTGCCCAAGGGGATGAACCCACCTCAAATGGGGCAGAAAAGTGGGGGTTTGGGGCTTGGTTGGTGGGGTTTTTTTATGTCCCATCCACATCTCACCTGGGGAAGCTGCTGCCGATGAGGATGCGACCCAAGGGGTATTCCTTGCCCTGCACTGTCACGGGGGGACTCACCTCCAAATTACCAAAGGAATCAAGGCTGGAAGCACCTTCTGGAGCTTTCCGTGCCACGTAACCAAAATCAGGGCCCTGGATGAGGGAAAAAAAGGCAATAAGGGTTAAAAAAAATGTGATGGTGCTTCAAAAAATATACACTATCACTTTAAAAGAAGCACCCTAAGCACCCAAAATACAGCATTCCCAAATCATCCTCCATCCTGGGTCTTCCCAAAAATTAAAGGAGAAAATTTGATTTATATCTTTTTTTTTTTTTTTCTAGATTGCAAAGTTTTGTGCCTTCCTGTGGAAGAAGAGGAAGAAGGGATCAGGTACCAAGATGCTTCTGACAGGGAAATCCCTCAGGCCTCTGTCACGGGGTGAATCAAACACAACGGGGAAGGTCTTGTGAGGGGCTTGTACATAGCCAAACTCCACCTCGTCCTGGAGAAGGGATGGAGAAGCTG